ATATATATATATATATATATATATATATAATTTAGTGATTTAGTTGATTTAGTGATTTAGTTAGGATTTAGTTAACATTGTAAAACTAATAATGTCTAAAAATTGTAAAAACTGCGATAAATATTTATTCAAAATGCGTAATAGATAGGCAGATAGAACTTCATTATTTAAGCAGAAAAATAATTTATCTGTATCGCCTGACCAAATAAAAATATTAACAGATATTAGTCTAGAAGTGATCACAGAAATAATTGGAATGCTTAGATCAATGAAAGACAGTAATAATCGAAACGTTTTCCAAGCATTAGTTATTTTTTGTTCAAATTGAAAACGGGAAATTCTAATCAAGCCATCGCCGGCATTTTTAATATTTCAAAGAGTCAAGTCTCTCATTATTATAAATAGATTTTAATTGGTTTCGAAAAAGATATATTAGATCAAAATTTTGATTAGAATCTTTTACTAGAGACCAATAAATTTCGGAGACATCATACAAAGCACAAAAAAATTCTGGGATTAACCAATGAGTAATTGGTATTAATATGTGATGATACGTATATACGATAAGAAAAGAGCGTAAATAATGAATATCAAAAAAAGTCTTTTTCTGGCCAAAAACGGGCACCACTATTGAAACCATTTACAATTTGTACAACAAATAGTTTCATAGTTGACTTTTCAGGCCCATATCTGGAAACACAAAATGATGCCACTATCATGAAAATTATACTAAAAGATGCACTTTTTTGCAAAATGATGATATTTCGTGATGCTCGATCGCGACCACCGGGGGGTCGCGTTACTACTGGAAAAGGGTCACAAAGATCTGATACTTTTCAATCATTATAAATAAAAATTTAAAATTGGTATACATTCTACATACAAATATAAATACAGAAGTTTACATGCATAAGTATTTTCCTAATGATATCGATACACAACAATGGATTTGCAATTTAGTTTCAATTGAAATGAAAGAAATTGATTTTTAAACTTAAAAGCACAAAAATTTGCCAAATTAACAAGTGATACTACTTTGCGAATCAGATTTTCTAAAGTGCCTGTGCATGTATTTTGGATAGAAATCAAATCAGAATATCCCCTACTATCGGAAATGGCAATGAACAAATTATTGCAATTTTGTACAACACATTTATGTGAACCAGCCTTTTTTAGATTAACATACATAAAAACAAAATACCAAATAAACGTTGAAAATTTATTACGATCTGCATTAACCCAAATTGAGCCTAGATTTAATTATTTGTGTAAAAATAAACATTCACATCCGACACATTAATATTGTTTGATGTTAATAATGTTTTAATTTAAAAAAATGGTTACAAAAGTTTTTTTTTAATATATATTTCAGTATATGAAAGATGGGGTCGTTTAAAATTGAAGGGGGTCGCTATATAAAAAAAAATAAGAAGCCCTGCTCTAACGGATATAAATTCAGCAGGATATGCGCCTCCTATGGCATGCATCTAATTTTGGAATTAGAGAAGAAAAAGAAGAAAATGTTTTGTTCCGAATAAAATCGGCGAGTTTTCAAAAAGACTAAAATATTAGTAGTTTTGATAGGAACCAAGAACACCGAGCATTGCAAACCATATGAAATCTATCAAGGCATTATGAATTGTGTAAACCTCATTGAAGAATTTCTTTCAAATGCACACATCATTTTACTGACTATGCTGTCAATAGAGAGAAAACCAAACGCTCAGCGCGATTGCTTCCAGGAAATAAATCATCTATTAATTACATTCAACGACTAAAATAAAAAAAAATCAGTGCACACGTTTAAACGAGGTTTAATATCGAGAGACCTAACGTATGATTAGTTGCATCTCGCAGCCGAAGGCTATCATCAATGCTTTGAACCAGCACACTTAATCAGAAAAATATTGACTGAGTTATAAAAATAAGTTTGTGATGATATGCCTGGACACGAATAACTCAGTTGACAAAACTAAAAATAGGTTTGTATTCTAACAATAATGTAGCTAAAGATTTTCATTTTTATATTAAAACCCTTCAAGTATAACAGGAAAACACGATATACTATGGTGCCATATAATATGCCAATAAATGGAATAATTTCTTCACTTTGTATGAGAGTGAGTGTTTAGATGATGACATAATCATTGACTCTTATTTAGCATCAATTGAATATAATAGCAAACTAATCAAGTTTTTTTAGTGTTCATAGCGAGGTTTTTGTGCGGCCTTTTGCCACATAGTACAAAATGGTAGAGTTTATTTCTAACTACTATTGTAACCTTCGAGAACACGATCGCCGGTTACTTTCCTGCTTCTGAAGTACCTACTGTTGCAAGACAACATTTTCCTTCATGTTAAAAATAAAAACAAGTTTACGAACGCAAATTACACAAGCGCATTTAGAGAATCAACTAAAAATGTGAAAAAATGTGTCGAAGCTTATTACGAACATACAATTACTGTCAAGCAAAAAACAAAGCCAAATAAAAGTCACCAACTTAATAAATAAACAAATATTTGTTCATTGTATTTTTGTGATATTTTTATATTATTTTATATGTACATTATATTTAAAACTTTATAGTATTATATTTAGTTTTTTTCTATTTAATCAAAAAATACTAATAATTTCACAAATTATGTATCACACACTTTAAATTCCTTCAATTCGTTTAATAAGCATTTGCAGTTCACTTGTAAACTTGAGGGTAGTAACTCTATTACGTATGTGCTATGTGCAAGTTGTATAAGTTTTTTTAACCTCTTCTTCATCAAAACTACGAAGCACAAAGATCTTAATTTTTCTTTATTCCAAATAGACAGGGCCATTTGGTTAAGTAATGAGATCTTTTGGGGTAAACGGCCTAACTTCAATTCGTTCTGTTTTGAATAATAATTCTTGTTCGCCAAATTTAGTTAATAACATCATTAAAAATACATTAGAGTTTTTACATAACAATTTAAACAGTTCTTCATACCTTAACAATTCTTGTTAAAAATCAAATTCTTCCTCTTTAATTAAATATAAAGGTGTTATTTGTTTACCTTTCTTAAGTAATTTTTCTTATTTTTTAAGAAAGTTATTTGTTGCTGAAGATACTCTTTTAGTTTTCAGTTTCGACAGCACGTTCAGTTACATTTTTCTTCACTCAAATCATAAACTCCCTCTGATAGGGTAACTGATTCGGTTTACAGGTTGGACTGAAATGATTGCAATAGTTGTTACATTGGGGGCATAACATATATATTAGGGGGACCGGAAAGTAATGTCGTTTCTGCGCATGCCAATACTTGATTGTCATTTGTCAGCTCATTGTTTGGTTCAGAGGCATACCAAAAACATTGTGAGTTTAGTTATAGACAATTGAATTACAATTTTTAACTTTCCGAAGGAGAAGTTTATGTTTTCCGATCGCTAATTTTATGTTTTCTCGACGTTTCAAGCCATTCTGAATCGAATGAGATCAAATTTGTAAAAAGTATGTGTGTGTGTGTGTGTGTGTGTGTGTGTGTGTATGTGAACAGATTTTTTGCCGTAAATCGACGTTTTCTCGAAAACGGCTGGGTCGATTTCAAAAATTTAAAAGCCATTCGATGTATCTCGACGAGAACTATTGTTTGTCAGTTTTGTGCGACGATCGGCCAAGCCGTTTCTTTATAAATGGCAGAAAAGTGAAAAAATTTTCGTCTACGTTTTAGCCCGCAATTCTGAATCAATTTTGAAAATTCAAAAACCGTTCGAAAGATATTGGTTGGGAATCGTGCTGATTAGTTTTTGGTAGAGATCGGCCGGGCCGTTTTCTTGTAATAAAGTTTAAAAAAAAAAAATTCGACGATTTTTATGATTATTTTTTTGACGATAGATACCATAGTCTTCTAGATCATACTAAAATATTACGGCCCTACGATGACTGGTTCAGCTTTAAAAATTCGTCAAAGTTTGCAAAAAGCAGTATGGTCTTTTTGGCATTTGTCAAAATAAGACTTTTGATCGACGTTTTCTCAAAAACGCCTGAACCGATTTTAGAAATTTAAAAGCCATTTGATGTATTTCGATGAGGACTATCGTTTGTCAGTTTTGTGCAACGATCTGCCAAGCCGTTTCTTTGTAATTTGAAAAAAACTTTTCGTCGACATTTAAGCTCATCCTACCGAACGATTTTAAAAAATCAAAAACTGTTCGAAAGATATTAGTTGGGAATGATACTGATTAATTTTAGTGAAAATCTACCGAGCCGTTTTCTTGTAATTAACTGTTGAAAAAAAGTGTTAAATTTTCGTCGACATTTAAGCTCATCCTACCGAACCGATTTTAAACAATCAAAAACTGTTCGAAAGATATCATTTGGGAATGATGCTGATAAATTTTAGGTGAAAATCTACCGAGCCGTTTTCTTGCAATTAACTGTTAAAAAAAGTGTTAAATTTTCGTCGACATTTAAGCTCATCCTACCGAACCGATTTTAAACAATCAAAAACTGTTCGAAAGATATCATTTGGGAATGATGCTGATAAATTTTAGGTGAAAATCTACCGAGCCGTTTTCTTGTAATTAACTGTTGAAAAAAAGTGTTAAATTTTCGTCGACATTTAAGCTCATCCTACCGAACCGATTTTAAAAAATCAAAAACTGTTCGAAAGATATCATTTGGGAATGATGCTGATTAATTTTAGGTGAAAATCTACCGAGCCGTTTTCTTGTAATTTATTGTTGAAAAAAAATTTAAGCCGATTTTCATGGCACTTTTTTTGGCGATATACATCATGGTCTTATAGAACTTACTGTAATATTATGGCCTTACGACAAGTAGTTTAATTTTACAAATTCGTCAAAGTTTGCTAAAATTATTATCGTTTTTTTCAAAGCAGGATTGATAAAGAATATTATTTACACTTTTTTTTTATTAAGTCGATTATTTACACATATCGGGAAGTTCATGTAACTTGCCTCAAGGCTAAATACCAAACCAACTAGTTTTTTTATAATTTTGTGTAAAATGGCCAGCCAAAAACCAGAAGAGGTACACATCCGGCATTGCATGCTCTTTGAGTTTCGCAAGGGAAATAACGCAACAGTTGCTACCAAAAATATTTGCGATGTTTATCCAAATGCACTGGACATTCGTAAATGCCAAAGGTGGTTTTCCAAGTTCAAATCGGGTAATTTTGATCTTTCCGACTCGTATCGATCAGGAAGACCATCAGCGTTAGACAACGACGTGTTAAGGGCGGAAGTGGAAGCAAATCCGTGTCAGACGATCGAGGAATTGTCAAACAGTCTCAACCAACCTTGGTCGACCATCCAAGAACATTTGAAGCAGATTGGGAAAGTAAGCAGAGCAGGTGTTTGGGTCCCGCATAATCTGTCCGAACAGAATAAGGCTAACCGATCAATCACATGCAACTTATTGCTTCAACGACACAACACAGAAGCGTTTTTTGATCGCTTGATCACAGGAGATGAGAAATGGGTCCTGTATGATAACCCAAAACGCAAAAGGCAGTGGCTCTCTCCAAAAGAAAACCCTCGAAGTACTGCTAAGCCAGGTTTACACCCCAAAAAAAGCGCTTTTGTGTGTTTGGTGGAGTATTCGCGGCATTGTTCATTTTGAATTACTGAAACCTGGACAAACTGTTACTGCAGACCTCTACAGAGAACAATTGCAGCGAGTAAATCAATCTTTAATTGAAAAGTGGGCAGCAATTGTCAACCGAAAAGGCGTCATTCTCCAACATGACAATGCAAGACCGCACTGCGCAAAGCGAACTCTAGAAAAAATTAATGAATTGGGGTGGGAGGTGCTGCCTCATCCACCATATTCGCCCGATGTTGCACCATCGGATTTCCACTTATTCCGAGGGCTGCAACACTTTTTAAGTGGCAAAACATTTGCAAATTTGGATGATATCCAAAATGCCATCTCTAGATATTTTGCCGAAAAACCAATTAATTTTTATCGATCAGGGATTGAAAATTTACTCACTAGATGGCAAAAGGTTATTGACAATGATGGGGAATACATCATTGATTAAAAATAAAGACTCGTTAAAATGTATGTGTTTGAATTTAGCGTAAGAAAACGACATTACTTTCCGGTCCCCCTAATATAATTCTAGAAACCCAAATCAATTTAAAACTGTGCTATCAGAATATATCCTTCCATCCTGTATATTGAAAAGAATTGTGACCTTAGAAAGATAGTTGAGTCGTTACTTATATCCCCTAATACTTCTTGTGTCAACAAACGGAATTCCTCTCATCTTTTACATGACTGTTACAAAGTCATTATAAATTTCATGAAAAGTAATTCTCTGTTTCTCATAATTGCTATTTTTGTAATATGTTTTTTTAGATTACTGAATGATGGCACACATTAAGTATCGAAACGTCTAATAAAAAAAAATCTATTTAATCTTTTAATTCGACGATTGGGCTGCAAAATACTTCGAATATATATTGCTATATTTCCATTTTTATGTTTAACCGTTAATGCAATATGAAAAGTACCTACTTATGGTTGAGTTCAAATTTTTTTTATTTAAACAGCTCAACAAATTTAACTTTTTTTGACATAGTATGAAAAAATGGAATTTCTAATAGAGAAACTGAAATAACTTCAATAACACTATAAACATTGAACCTGGATATTGAGGTGTTAATACAATGAAAGATACTTATGGTAGAGTTCAAAAACTAATAAAAGATGTAGAGTCAAATGCCGTCCGTACTCGATGATGCGGAGAGAGAAATTATTGCTATGCATTTTTTTTAAACAGTTCAACAAATTTACAATTTTTTTTTACATATGTGAAGATGAGCCTCTCCAAGATCCGGAGAGTTTGTCCAAGGATAATATATTTTATCGAGTATTGGACATGGTCATTAACCAACTCAAATCACGTTTTTCCAATGAATGAAATTATTTCAAATTTCAGCATTTTGCAGTCTTAAACTTTAAAAGCATTAAATGATATTGATGTAATGAAAAAAACCTTTCAATTTAGTCAAGTTATATAATAAAGATATATCTGAATCTTTTGCCAGAGAAATTTTTAGTTTTCGATACGCCCACCCAGGGATTCATATCTTACAATACATTTTTAATAATACCAGTATCAATCCTCATACATCACAAGCACCTCATTCTAATTCACCATTCATAACTTCCGATTTTCCTACTGTCAATAGCATTTGCCAAAAAAAGGTTTTACCCTCATTTGATAGAGTCAGCGTTAAAATGTGATTACAGAAGATGAGAACAAATAATAGATTCAAGGTTGCATTTCATAAAGATGTTGGAAATGGCACAGCTAATTATGGGCTTGAAGATGAGGATTTCATTCTAGCAATGACTAAAATGCAGTTTATAATGTTAAAGGACTTTGGGGCCGATAGAGTTTGCATTGATGCTACACATGGAACCAATGCCTAAGACTATTACATGATGTTATGTAATGAACGTTATCATTTATTTTATAAAAATATAATAATATTGTATTAAAATAACGGTTTCATATCCCGGGCGCATTGCAGCAGGTTGTGTAACCCTGCATTAGTTAGTGCGGTTGCCGACTGTAGTTCTGGGTTGTGAACACCGAAAACAACTTGTAAACTATTATTAAATAAAAGAAGTATTAATAAACAAGAAGTGTGTTGTCAATATCCAAGATATAAGCTCGTTATAATTTTTTTTCAATAAGAACTCGAAGTATCCGAGATTAATAAAGTCGTCCACACCCCAACCAAACAATTCAATAAACTACTTGTGGTAGATGAATTTGGAAGCAAAATCCCAGTTGCGGGCAGGATGAAGTTTTATGTAAAATATATTTTCAAGAAATTACCAAGGTAGTAGGCATAATTAAAACAAAGACATTCATGACAGGTGACTCTCCAGCTCATTTCAATGCATGGTCAGACGTCATGGATGAGCCACAGTATATACTTTTATGCTGTTGGCATGTGCCCAGGAGCTGGAAGAGAGCAGCATCACACAAGATCACAAATAAAGAGAAACGCGAAATCATTTATCAGAAATTAGTACAGACGACAATGTTAAGTTATTTGTTGCATAATTTAGCAAAGTTTACTGCAAATGAGCAACTACCTGGGCGTATTGTTATTGGAAAAGAATAAGAATTAACACTAACATGTATTTAGAAAGATTTCACAGTCAAATAAAAAGTCGAGTTTTTAAAAGAAAGTGCTCTAGAAGAATGGATAAGGCCACTCAAATGGTGTTACTTCTTGAAATCCTTTCTTTTCAGCAAAGGACCCGAAGATTAGATGGAATGTTACTATCGACCAGACAGAGAGATATACGAATAAGCCACATGAGAAGCGCAACATTATTGCCTGATATTACAGAAACCAATTCCAAAATACAATAAAATATATTGGCAACAGAATTTGCCATACGCGGTTATTAAGAAAAATCAAACTTGTAATAGTACTTGCATTAGATGTGAACCATGTAAGATTTGTTTTCATATATAAACATGCAGTTGTAAAGAGTATTTGATTTAATGATACATTTGTAAGCACATCCACGCATGTGTGAGAGTTTTCCCATCAAATACGGGTTTTAAGCATGAATTGCTAGAAAGAGATATGATACAAAAATGTGAAAGTTTTAGAAGTTCAGAAGATCTGCAAACAAACGAGTATGCAAACGAGTACAGAAAATAATAAAGAGGCTCGATATGCCATAATAAAACGTGCAGGACAAGAGCTTATAAATTTAATAGATAATGGACAGTTTGGTAATCATGAAACATTCATGAAACGAATTTGTTGATTTGATCAGCAAACAAAGACATCATCCCAAGAAAATACTAGAAAAGTGCAAATAAAAAAGATGGAGTGCAAAAGAGCAGGAAAGAAAAAGACCACTTAATTTGTTATTAAAAAAATTTATATATATACGAGGTCTGTTCAAAAAGTTTTCGTAATTTTCGTTTTTTCAAAAAAATATTTATTTATTCGTCTACATTAATGTGGTCCCCTTCAAAGTAGTCCCCCCCAGATATAATACACTTATGCCAGCGTTTTTTCCAATTTTCGAAGCACCCTTGATATTCACTTTTTGATATGTCCTTGAGCACTCTCGGCGATTTTCTTCAATCGAGGAAAACCGCCGTCCTTTAATGGGTCTCTTCAACTTTGGGAATAGGAAAAAGTCACACGGAGCCATATCTGGTGAATTTTTGCACTTTGCAACACTTTATTTCATTTTTTACGCAAAATTAAATACAAATTCTTTGACTTTTTCAATTCTTCCATTGTAAAAATCGCCGAGCTCAGAAAAACACGTCGAACCTTAGCGACTACCACAGACAAAGTAAACAGTGAATATAGCTGAAAATTTCATCATACTTTAGGGGCATGTATACCAACACAATAAAAAAAAAATTTTGACAATCAGACACTCCAGACCCGCGAAATTTAATTATTAGTAATTCCGGGTACTTTTTGAACACACCTCGTATATATATATACGAGGTCTGTTCAAAAAGTTTTCGTAATTTTCGTTTTTTCAAAAAAATATTTATTTATCCGTCTACATTAATGTGGTCCCCTTCAAAGTAGTCCCCCCAGATATAATACACTTATGCCAGCGTTTTTTCCAATTTTCGAAGCACCCTTGATATTCACTTTTTGATATGTCCTTGAGCACTCTCGGCGATTTTCTTCAATCGAGGAAAACCGCCGTCCTTTCATGGGTCTCTTCAACTTTGGGAATAGGAAAAAGTCACACGGAGCCATATCTGGTGAATTTTTGCACTTTGCAACACTTTATTTCATTTTTTACGCAAAATTTAATACAAATTCTTTGACTTTTTCAATTCTTCCATTGTAAAAATCGCCGAGCTCAGAAAAACACGTCGAACCTTAGCGACTACCACAGACAAAGTAAACAGTGAATATAGCTGAAAATTTCATCATACTTTAGGGGCATGTATACCAACACAATAAAAAAAAAATTTGACAATCAGACACTCCAGACCCGCGAAATTTAATTATTAGTAATTCCGGGTACTTTTTGAACAGACCATGTATATATATATATATCAATTTTTAGTACGCTTACATCCACCTCCGTTTTATGGACCTCATACTTTCCCTGTTCATCATTATGTTGGTTCTTCGCATCGTTGTGGGTTTCCGATTCACCCTTTCGGATTTCATCTTCGGAATTTTGTTCAAGATCATCTTCCTCCGACTTCGGTTCAAAATTACTCTGGGCATCTTGTTCCTGTTCCATCTAATGACCAGCTGTCTTTCTTTAATTTTGTTGAGTTGCATTATGGATACCATACCAGGGTAAAACTTTCCACATTTTCTTCTTTAACTTTGAAATTGATCAAAGCTATTATCAAACAAAATTTTCTATTACGTTGCAGAAAATATAAATTGATTCTTAAGTTTTTTGACACAAAATTAATGCGTTTTAAGTTCAATCATTTAACATCTTCTTTCTTTAACAAAAAGTTATGTAACATTAGTTTTGAAGCTATGTCACTTGAAATTAAAAATAGTTTTTCCTACATTTCTTCTCTTAAATGTAAAATTGAAAATTTAAAAAATGTTTTAACTTCTACTTTGGAACCTCTCATTTTGGAAAATTTTCTAGAATTTGAAAATTTGAAATATGACAGAATTTCTACAAAATTAAAATTGGCTCATATGAAAAAAATTGATAAGCATTTGGATAATTTTAATAAATCTATTGTACCGTTGATAAGTGAAAATTTAATAGATAAATGGCTCAAAAACTATTCTAACACACCTATCCCCCCTAATTTAAAGTATATCTTTGCCCTTGGTCCTAAATTTTCTTTTCTCAAATCCAACTTTAATTTCATTAAGGTACTTAGTAATTTGAAGTTTGGTTTAAAAAAATTGAATAACCCAGATAAAGAAACAAAATTTAGATCCATGTGTTGTAGCAAATTTTTATCTTTTATCAAAAAGAATAATTCTAATTTTAGTTCCCTTCCTTTACATTTAGAAATTGTTAGGAATTTAAAATTATGCGAAAAGCTTATGAAGGATAATCCAGATATCATAGTCAACAAAGCTGATAAGGCAATCTTACTGTGGTTTTAGACAGGTCGGATTATTTTTCAAAAACTTACGACTTATTAAACAACGAAACTTTTTATAAACCTTTAATTAACGACCCCACCGATCATTTAAACAAACAAACTCACAAACTTATTCTTATCTCCAAATCATTAGGTTTTTCCTTAAAAGTCTTTCATCCCAGTTTTCCCAAGTTGTATTGTCTTGCTAAGGTTCATAAACCTAATTTACCCCTCAGACCTATTGTTTCTGACTTAAATTCTCCCTTAAGTAAACTCTCCGAATATATCAGCACCATTCTCTCTAAGGTTTCTATTTTATCAAAATTTAATGTACCCTATTCTTTTAGTTTAGTTAAAAATTTAAATAATTTTACAATTCCTCCCAATTCTTCCTTTGTTAGTTTTGATCTCATTTCCCTTTTTACGAATATTCCTTAGGATTTGGCATTAGAAGCTGCTTCTGACCGTTGGATGGATATCCAACATCAGACTTCGATTGACTCGGTTTGGTTCAAGACTAATTTAAATTTCATTTTTGTTAAGACTTACTTTTGATTTGATGATAAATTTTATTCACAGATTTTTGGTTTGCCCATGGGGTCTAGCATTAGCCCCCCCCTGCGGCTGATTTAACATTACAAATTTTGGAAAATTTTGTTTTATCTAATCTTTCTGTTCCACACCTCACCTTTATTATAGATATGTTGATGACGTTCTGTTGTCCCTTGACGATTTTCACGTTGTCGACACATTAGACTAGTTCACTTGTGAGACTGAATCGGATGACTATTAGCTTTTTAGACATAAGGGGGTAGAATTTTGAAAAAATCGAATTTTTTTTTGCATATTTTTTTTACAAAGGTTAGTTATTCAAAAATATGTCATTAAAAGTATTTTTCAAAATTACTATTATTTCCTGAGTTATAGCCGTTTTAGTGACGTGGCCTCGGTTCGGGTCCGACCGAGTCTCAAAACTTTGAACGCGTTTTTCTCGGAACTACTTTTTTCGAGCTGGCGGTTAGGATATCTCGAGTTCTAATGAACCTATTTACTTCAAATTTGGAGAGGATCTTCTCTATACATCGCTTTATCGCATGGACCTTGCCCAAAACTATAACTTTTCATTTAGTGTTTTTAAAAAATTCGGAATTGTTAAAAAAAACATGAATTTTTTTTTCAAACTGCCGCCATTCAAACAAATTTTTTTTTAACTTATCCAAGGGTCATACGATAGCGGCATCTATAATACATAATTAAGAATCCATATATTTTTTATGTTTCGGATCACCAGGATGGTTGGAATCATGCACGCCAGGACACCCTCTTTTTTTGAGCCCCCACTTTG